CCAACAGCAGATTAAAGCAGGAAGAAGAAAGGATGAGCAAACTTGAAGACAACTGAAATTTTGCAGCCTGAGAAACAGAAAGAAAAAAGAATAAAGAAAAATGAACAGAGCCTAAGAGACACCATCAAGCGTATCAACATATACATCTTAGGAGTCCCAGAAGGAAATAAGAAAAAGGGGTAGAAAAAAAATTTAAAGAAACAACAACAGAAAACTTCCAAAATCTGATAAAAGACAAAAATATACACATCCAAGAAGCTCAACACAATCCATGCAGGATAAACTCAAATAGATACACACTGAGACACATTATAATAAAATTGCTGAAAGACAAAGACAGAATCTTGAAAGCAGCAAAAGAGAAGTGACATATCACGTACAAGGAATCCTCAATAAAATAAACAGCTGATTTCTCAGCAGAAACCATGGAGGCCAGAAGGCAGTAGGATGACATGTTTAAAGTGCTGAAAGAAAAAATACTGTCAACCAAGAATTCTATACCCAGCAAAACTACTCTTTCAAAATGAAGGAGAAATGAAGACATTTCCAGATAAGCAAAAGCTAAGGTAGTTCATTACTATTAGATCTAGCCAACTGAATTCAGCAGCATATTAAAAAAATTATACATCATGACCAAGTGGGATTTATCCCAGGAATGCAAGGGTGGTTCAACATATAAAAATCAATGTAATACACTACATTAATAGAATGAAGGCAAAAAAACCCCACATGATCATCTTAGTTGATGTAGAAAGGCAATTGACAAAATCCAGCACCCTTTCACGATAAAAGCAGTTAGAAAACTAGGAACAGAAGGTGATTTCCTCAACACGATAAAGGGCATTTTTAAAAAACTCACAGCTAACTTCATACTCAACAATAAAAGACCGAAAGCTTTCCTCCTGAGGTGAGAAACAATACAAGGATTATCACTTTCATCACTTCTACTCAACACAATACTGGAAGTTCTAGCCAGAGCAATTGGAAAAACAAAACAAAACAACCAATTGCCATCAAGTCCATTCTGGCTCATGGCAACCCTATGTATGTCAGAGTAGGGCTATACTCCGTAGGGTTTTCAGTGGTTAATATTTCAGAAGTAGATCACTAGGCCTGTCTTCGGAAGTGCCTCTGGGTGGACTGAAACTGCCAACCTTTTGTTTACTGTTTAATGAGTTATTGTTTAATGCATACAGTGTTTCAGTTTGGGATAATGAGAAAGTTCTGTAAACAGACAGTGGTGATAATTACACAACATTGTGAACAGATTTACTAAACACTTAAAAATGATTAAAACGGCAAATTTTACATTATGTGTGTTTTATCACAGTGAAAGAAAAAAAAGGAAGAAAAAAATTCCTCATTTAATAGGAAACACAGCATTAGAAATGTGAAATAACTTGCTCAAGGTCACTGTGCTAAAGTGGCAGGGCCAGGACTTAAACCCAGGCTAGCTGTCCAGTCGGTCTCTCCCCCTGCCTCCTAAGGCCCCCTTGTTCTCAGCTGGGGCCTCCTGGAGCTCTCTAATACTACACCTTTCACTGTAGTACAATTTAAGTGCTAAACACAATAGATTGAGCGGCCCCTTCCTCTTCACTTAGCTGTAAGGGTCTCCCCTGGAATGCCAGAAGGCTCTGCTCAGTGACCATTACTTTCTAATAGAAGAGGTGAGCCTGGGAAGTTAGCTCTAATTCATCATAGGAAGAAGGGTTGTAGAGTCCACTCTACAAGTCTGTACCATAAAACCTTCAGGAAAAACACGGTAGTATAAATGCGGTGTTTGGATAACAGCATCTGGAGCCAGACCGTCTATGTTAAATCCTGGTTCTGCAACTTACAAAGCTTTGTGACTTTGGGCCAATTTCTTCATGTCTCTGTGCCATTTCCTCACCTGATAAACTGACGTAACACTACTATGTCCCAAGTTGAAGAAAAATGAGAAAATTGTGCCCCTAATACTCCACAGCATGTTTTCTCCTTTTTAAAACAGACATCTGAGAGCTTGACATAACTAACACCATGATGAACCTATTTTTTTCTGCCTGCCTTCTTTCCGCATACCTTTGTTAATTAATTTGTTTTGCTCTGTCTGGCCATCTGTGACTTATGACCCCCCACACGGGGTTCAGTGAGCATTGGGGTGCCATGTAGGGCATACGTGGGTGCTGAGAACAGCCCACCTGAGTGGAAACAGTTTGTGAACTGGAGTAGAGGGAGACGAGCTGTTCGGTTTGTAAATCTTTAGCCGGATAAGGAGAGGTCCGGCATGTATCTCTTTAGCCTGACAGTCTCTTGTAGTTGTCTTATAATGTGTAACTCATCCGGCCATCTGTGGGCGCCATGGCAAAAGACACTTCTAACTCTTGTAAAAATCATATATAAGCTCTAATGTAAAACTGCCTTTCAGGACTCCATAGAGACAGCCTGCATTGCTGTTGGATTCCCCATTGGTGATCACCTCCTAAATAAACTCTCTCTCTGCTTGGAGTCCATTTCATTGGCTTGACTGCTCCAGGGCACGGGCCCTAAATGGGCAACAAAATTCCTCTTAGAGTAAAGGTCCTATAAACATCACTATAGGGACCTAGTGGGCAGGAATCACTGTGTGAGGACCTTCTATGTGGGTCCTGGCCTATGCACACACAGTGATCGAGTGTTTCCTGTGTCTGCCCATCTCCAGGGATGGCTGAGCAGGACCCTATATTGTGGACACTGGGTGGAGATAGAGGCAATGCCAGCACCATGACTCCTTTGTACTCTGGCTACACCTGCCTGTGTGTGTGGCATTTGTGTGGAGATGGAGGTGTCTGTATGTCACCCTAGTCTGGATCTGTGTGTGACTGTTCTCTTTGCACATTCCTGCCCACAGAACCATGAACCTGGAGGGTGAGGGGACCATGATGCGGGGCAGAGAGCTCATCAGTGTCATGCAGCAGACACCTGAGAAGGAAAGCTGCCAGGTATGCTTACCGGGCAACTGCCTGCCACAGGGCTCCGCTGCAAAGCCCTAGAGTATGAGAACCCTTTTGGGACCAAACCCTGAGATCTTTGTGCAGGGGCACAATATATCACAAAATTTTAGGGGCTCCCCTTCCACCTACTACCCCTGGGGCCACGGGTAGTAATCTGTGTCCTACAGGAAGTGACCTAAGTCTCCTGGTGTCCCCAGTGAAGTCAGAAATCATGGAAGATTGGGGCCAGACCCTGCCCTTGGGAATTCCCATCAAGTTGGGAAGACAAGATAGGGTCAAGCATGGGTCCACGATGGCGTCGTCCAGGGCGTCCTGCAGCTTCTTGTAATTGCTCGGACTTTAGGGAGCCAGGGCCGTGTCTGTTGTAGGTTAGGAGCATTGCTCATTTATTAAAGAAATGTTATGGAGAGTACAGGTACAGTAAACAAGACATAGAATCCCTGCTCCTGTTGATTATTACACTTCAGCAAAGAAGATGCCAGACCACTAACTACACATGACAACTTACACAGTTAGCAATCCGGACTAGGAAGAGCTGTAGCGTCAGAGTGCTATAAGGGAATCTGCTGTGAGATCAGAGAAGGTTCTGGGAGGGAGTGATGCTAGCGCCATGTCAGGTCCCTGAGAACTTACTGCAGCAGGAGCCCTAAATAACTGAGCAAAGGGCAGGACGAGGAGAGAGCATCCCAGATCACGGATACGGCGAGTACAGAGGCCTGGGAGGGGAAGGATATTAAGGAACCAAGGGGCCGGCAAGGCCAGGATCCAAAGAGCCAGGGGAAGCGAGGCGCCAGACGGGTTGGAGAGGCAAGCTGGCCTAGGCCTGGAGATGGGGCTTTAGCCAGAAAGCAAGTGATGCCCTGAAGGTTTTAAGTAGGAAAGCAACCTGCATTTTCAAGCGCTGGGAGAGGCAGGGAGAGCAGCTGGAAGACTGAAGTGAAGAACTGCCCGGGAGGGCAAGGGTTCAGTCAGCTTGGAGGGGTGTGCAGGATGCATGAGGAGGCACACTGCACAATGTGGGGTTCAGTGAGCGTTGGGGTGCCATGTAGGGCATACGTGGGTGCTGAGAACAGCCCACCTGAGTGGAAACAGTTTGTGAACCGGAGTAGAGGGAGACAAGAGCTGTTACACGGTGTTGATTCTCCCCTCACCCCACACACACTGGGGCTCCCTTACCGTTTGGGTACACCAGCAGGAATGGCTGATGTCTTCATCTTGGCTCCTGTAGTACTGAGTGGTTGGCGTGAGGTGGGGAGGGGCGAGAAGGTGTGGCCTATCAGATTCAGACCCTGCACTTCTACAGCCAAGAATCAGGTGGCTCCACGTGGCCCTGTGACCCCTGACCCATAGCAGCAGCTGGGTGACATCCTAAGGCATCTCTGAAGTGGCATTTCCCAGAGTGCAGACTCATCCGCCTGGTCATCAGCTAAGCCATCCTTTCATGCATTCATCTGGCCCAGGCCCTGAACTCTTCCTGGCAGCGGGGACCCGAGACGAGTAGGGGGCTGGGCCCTCAGAACTCAGCCTGCCCAGCCAAATGGAAGGCCGCACGGGCTGACACAGAATGCAGCCAGAACTCCAGCTCAAGGTGAAAGACCCACCAGGAAGGTGCCATCCCCACCCCCAACCCAGCTGGCCCACTCTCCTGTCACATCTGCCACCTGGGTGGGCCTCCCGAGACTTGCCACTTCATGCCCTCCCAGGATATGGCTTTATCCCTTTGCCCTGAGTTATGCTGGGCAAGTCCTGACTTCTTCAAAACTCTTCCAAGGAAAACATAACCTCCTATGAAAAGATTACAACATGAGTGTCCAAGCTGGGCCTGGCCTGCTGATCACAACTCTCCTCCCCTTGCCCTGCTGGGGTCTCCTGTGCTCAGCCCCCTCCTCTTCTAAGGTAAGGATCAACAGTGGAGGTGTGCTCTATCCACCACCTGAGGGGCTCACGGGGAACAAGCAGGGCAAGGATGCAGCCTCCCCAGGGGTCCTGAGTGTGACCCCCCAGGTGTGGCCCACTCCTCACCGCCCCCTATGAACCAAGCTCACCCTCTTCTCCAAGCCCTGACCAGGCTCTGGGCCCCAGGAGGCTGACTGCTCTGGCTGCATCACCGAGCTCCCTGTCCTGGGCTCCCTCCCTGCAGGGGCTTGGATCTGGCAATGGCTTGTTCCTCCACCTTCGGCCAGAGCTCCAGCCAGGACCCCCATACTACAGATCTCACCGGGTTCCAGAACACCTTCCCTCCCTCGCCCAGGGGTGCTACTGCCTTTCCTGGCACCCCAGCACCCGTTAGCTGCCCACAGCTCTCTGAGCATGCCACCTATGTCCACAGGGCCCTGCTACCCTACCCTTAAAGGCCCACCTGAAAGCCATCTTTCCCAGCTCTTAGGCCCATACTAACCTCTCACCTTAGCCTCTTAAACCTTTTAATCTCTACATAGCAGAGACAAACCGGATTTGGCAGATTATGAGTCAGTTCTAAGAAGGTGTTCACATCCATCCTGGTGGTGAAGATGCAGCCAGGCTCCTCAGGCCACCGGTATTCAAAGACCGAGAAGAAGGGCCCCCCGCTTACGGAATGCTGACTCTGCCGGCGTTCCCGATCTTTAAGTTCATGTTTTCATGCAGCTACAATCCCAGCAGTTTTCATCATCCCAGTTTTACAGCTGAGGAAATCAAAGCTCAGGTTCACAGAGATACGCCCAAGGTTAGAGTCCACAAGTGGTGGGCTAGCACGGGCCCCAGGGTATTTTAACTCCAAAGCCTATGATGCTCCTGACATAGGGCTGTGGGTGCTGAGGCACTGAGAGGTGCCCAGAGTCACTGGCAGGGTGGCCTGCAGGACTGAACTGTCGCTGTGCTGACCCCTCAGGACTGGCCTGGGTTGAGCGCCAGCCTCCACATCTGCAGCACGGAGTCCCGGCGGGCCGTGTAGGGTAAATGTTTGATGCGGAACCAGTGTCTGGGGACAACGTTCCCACTGGGCGTATACAGCTTCTCCCCACGTCTGCCCAGGAGACTGCGCAGGGCCAGGTTGCCTGACAGAACCTTCTCATAGAACTCCACTCCCCCTCGGGCATAGGCCACAGACAGGGAGGCTGTACGGTGGTCCAGCCAGGCTTCCAGGGCATGAGTGAGTGAGTCCGTGGAGAAGGCGTAGGCCACAAAGCCAGCCACCGCTGCCACCAAGTTGAAGGCAGCCCGTAGGTTCATGGGGCCTCCGTAGAGCCCCAGTGCCTGCTTGGCACCCACACCCAGCACCCAGGTCCCCGCCAGGCAAGCTGGGGCCGGCAGGGCCTGCAGGGCGGCTGCGCTGCTCTCTAGGTAGACCACCTCCCTGGCCAAGGCAAACTTATGGGCGTCACGGGACAGGGTCAGGGCGTCTCTCAGCCGGGCACCTGCTGGGCTCTGCCACTCCACTCTTTGCCCATGGACCACCACGGACTGGTCAGTGTCGGTCACTGTGCCACCCAGGAAGATGGCGGGGATGCCCACCACGGCCCCAGCTGGGAGCCGTGGGAAGCCGGCGCTCACAGGCTGGAAGGTGAAGGTGGTGAAAGCCTTGTAGTGACGGCCTGAGGGGACGCCCATGTCCTGTAGCACCTCTTGGAAGAGGCTCTGTAGCTCCAGAGAGAGGGGGGCTGGCTGGCCCTGAGGCCAGTACTGGTACAGCCACTGGACCACGGGATCTGGGAAGAGGTGGTATGAGACCTGGGCCCCGAACAGCCCTGTGCAGGAAGAGACCAAAAGGCCTGTCCTGTGTCTCTGTATAAACGCTGCGGCCCGCCACAGGGGACCAGCCATGAGTGCTGCCACCGCTGACGACCTGGGCCGAGAAAGAGAGAAGTCAGCCAGAAGTTCTCCAGGTGTGCTTGTAGACTGAACACTCCCCATGTCCACAGCCTCTATAACTGAGGCAGTACACGGTGGGCCTTAGAGCCAGACCTGCCTGGGTTCAAATCCCAGCTCCATCTCTTACTAGCTCTGTACCACGGGGAAGTCACTCAGCCAAACTGTGCATCGTTTTCACCAAATGGGTATGTACCCACGGCCTCTAGAACGTTTGTGATGAGTAAATGAATGAACACACATAGAACATTTAGTGCCTGGCACAGCGGCAGGCAGCCCTTGTGGCAGCTGCTATGATCTTTATCCTCACGCTAGGCACAGCACTAAGTACCTGTCTTGTTCCACTTACTCTTCCCACAGTAAAGCGCTATGAGCCTTAATTTTTAGATGATATATATATACTGATTTGTGTACTTACTATAGACTAGACTGAGCGTTTTACACGGACAGTCATGCATCACTTAATATCCACGACAGGTCCTGTGAAACAGGACGTTAAGTGATTTTGACCTTGTGCGAACACCGTATTACATACACATACAGGCAATGTCTGGATTACCACTTATGGACAACTCGTACTTAAGAACGGACTGCCATGCAGCCTATTATACGAAAAAACTTGGGTTGCATACACACAGTAATTTGTAATAACGAACGTCTGCACTACTCTGTGACCCTCATGAAAACACTGCGCGGTTTGGAAGTGTTTTACATGCACATAAAAGTAAAACATATACTACATACTACGGCAAATACCTGACTGACACTACATAAGCCTAGTATGCACCTGTCTCGACTTACCCACAAACTCGACTTAAAGACATACTTAGGAATCTCACCGGTAACCCAGAAACTGCCTGAAGTACCTCAACACACGGCCAATCTAGTTTCAGCTCTACTGCCAATCATGCCCTCTCCCCTAACTGGTTTATTTTGAAACACATCCCGGACCTCCAATCATTTTATCCTTAATTATTTAACTCTGGTTGAAGGACACTGTCTTCCTATCTGAGAAAAAGTGTCTGATTAGCAAAGAAGTTGCTGCTAACAAGACCGGGGGTGGGGTGTGTGCGAGGTATTACTTGGTCTACTTCAATAAAAAACTCCTACGAGAGTCACATATGACGAAAAGAGGGCCACAGGGACATTCCTTCCGATGAAGAAACTGAGTCCAGGGAGGGAAAGGTCTCGGCTAAGGTCGCAATGCCCGCAGGGCCATGGCCTCGGAGGCGGTGCGGAGCGAGGAGGAGCTTTTGGATCCTCGCAGGGGCTCGTCGTTCTGCTCTCACCTCCTCAGCTACCTCCGTGGCCCGAAGAGGCTGCGAGCGGGAAGGCTGGGGAAGTGGCACCACCGTGGGTCCGCCCGTCTGCCCACCCGGACAGGTGAACTCACCTCCTCCGCCTCCACCTGGAGCCGCAAAACGAGCGCGAAGCACGGCCGGCCGCAAAGCACGCCGGCCCGGAGACGGGGCGGGGACAGCCGGAGGCGGGGCTCCTGGGGGCGGGGCCGTCCGCAGAGCACGCCGGCCCGGAGACGGGGCGGGGACAGCTGGAGGCGGGGCTATTGGGGGCGGGGCCGTCTTACGGGGCGGGGACAGCTGGAGGCGGGGCTCTTGGGGGCGGGGCCGTCCGCAAAGCACGCCGGCCCGGGCGCCCGGGGGAGGAGTTGGGGGAAGAAACCGCCGAGCCAGTGACGCCTGAGGGAGACTGCGGGGGTGGGGTCTTCGCCGTCAGCCCTTCCCTTAACCGAGCTCCTTGGGGTGGGTCTGCGAGTTGTCTGTGGCGTTGCTAGTGGCGGGCTGAGCAACTCCGGTTGCCTACCTGGCAGTGGCAGCTTCTCTCTGCGCTCAGAGGTCCTGTCACCCCGTTTAACCCTCGAGGGAACGGCGGCCCAGGACGGGGACGGTCCAGGGTCTCGGGGCGGCCTATGGCAGTGCCGCCAGCGGAACCCACGCCCGTGACTGCCAGGCCCGCGCCCTTTCCTCTCTGGAAAACACCGCCGGCGACATGCTGAGCTACATTTTCTTTCCTACATCCGTCCCTGCCCAAGTGCTTCACACTCTACAGTCCACAGAGCAGCGTGACATCTGCCACTCACCTTCCCAACAGCTCTGTGAGATTGATCAGGGATCACTGGCCTGTGGGCCAAATCCAGCCCACTACCTGTTCTGGTAAAAAAAGTTTATTGGAACACAGCTGCGCTCATTCGTTTACATATTGCCTGTAGCTGCCTTCCAGGTAAAGGCAGAGTTGACGACCTGCAACAGACAGGCCCACAAAGCCTAAAGTACTATCTGACCCTTTACAGAAAAAACTGGGACCCTTGAAGGAGATTATCCCCATTTCACGGGTCAAAAAACAAGAACACTGGGCTAGGATACACCTGTATGCACCGAGGCAGGCTAGGACCCTGATCCTATGCGTTTTCCATTATCCCTCCTGTCTCCATACGAATTCTCCCTAGGGGGCCTTGCCAATTCTCCCAAGTGGGTCTCATTCCAACTTACCTACAAATTCGACTTAGAGACAGACTTAGCTTGTTGGGCTGACTTTTCCTTCCACTCCAGCTCCCTCTCCAGTGCCCTCACCCCCATCCTGGATGGAAGGGTGAGGATGTAAGGAGTCCCAGGAGAGTGGGTCGTTGGGGTTGGATTTTGGAAGGTTAGCAGCCCTTGACCACTGTGTCTCTAGACAAACCACCAATGCAGTGACCAATGGAAGGGTTTCTTTTTGGGGTGATGGGAAGGTTCTGGAATTAGATAGTGATGATGATTGTTCAAAATTGTGAATATACTAAAAAACCACTGTATTATACACTTCAAATGGTTAAAATGGTGAATTGTATCTCACTTAAAAATGCAGATATAAAAAAGGCCAGCCAGCACCACTGCAGAGCTGATTTATCACTCATTTGACTAAAGCACCCCAGGAGCTTACATTTCCCCATGAGACAGATGGGTGTTTTGCTTACAACTGGGCTTTCTGATAAGACAAGTATGTAGTCATCTACCTTGTGTGCTTGGGTGTACAGCTGTCCTCAGCGCCTCCTCCCTCACCACTTCCTGGTGCTTTGAAATGCTACCACTCACGAATTCATTTGTTTATTCATTCAGCTCCTACCCCGCCAAGTGCTGGGGGTGAAAACAGGGATGAGAAACCACACAATGGTGAACCTTCTCAGGCAGATCCTTTCCTGACTGTGGGAGTGGACAGAGAGAAAAGAGTTGAGGAAGAGCAGCCATAACAAGATGGGAGAGGCCCTGGAGGCAAGCTGCTAGGTGACTTTGGGTTTAAGAGGCAGGTTCTTGGAGTTGAGGCCTGCATGGCCCTGAAGGCCTCCCCACAAATCCCTAATGTGAGGCCGGAGTGTGGTCAGTGTTTGGCTGTCAGTAGGGGCTGCCCAGGCAGCTCTTAGGCTGGGGGGGCTGCCAGACAGAGGAAGCCTTTCTCTGCTGCTGTTTGGTGAGACCAAGAACAGCTGTGACAGAGTCTCTTGGTCCTTCTCCTCTGCTGGGATCCTCCTCCTTTTCAGGAATGTTCTACTCCAGGTCTGGGAGGGGCTGGCCTGACTCAGGGAGGGCCCAGGGAAGTGGGGGCAAGGACCTGCTCCTGCCACGGTGTCCCTCCACCTGCCAGGTGCCCTTGACTGGGGACAGTGCCTAAGGGTGCATTCAGGGGTCGTGAACCAGGCCTACAAACATGCCCCTGAACGGTGCTCCTGGGCCAGCAGCCAACCAGGTGCCTCAGCAGCAGAGGTGCCCTGAGGGGCCTGACTCCTTGCACCGTTCTTTCTTTCTGCTACTTGTGGGTATGACATTACCTTCAGCAAGGGTTTGCTTATTCAGTCAACACACTTATTTACTATTTTTATTTAGCACCTATAAATATAAGAAAATAAGATCATTTCCAATAGAGATAAGGCTATTAAGGAAATAAATCTGGGTAATAAGGTAAAGAAGGAAGCAGGGGCCCTTTACCTACGGTGGTTAGGGAAGGCTTTCTGAAAAGGTGATGTTTGAGCTGAGTCCTGGATGATGGAAGCATGAGGTGAAAATCCAGGTGAAAACGTCCCCAGTAGAGAGAATGGTTTGTTCCCAGGCCCTAAGAAGGAATGCCATTAGTGTGTTTGAAGGGCAGAAAGCAAAGTGTGGCTGGAGTGAGGCAAGAGGAAAAGATAAGCAGGGAGATGGAGAGGTAGGCAGAGGCTGGATCTCCAGGGTTTTGTTAGCCTGAGAGAGGACTTTGCATTTTACTCTAATTGCAACAGCAAGTCCTTGGTGACCTTGTTAAGAGCTGTTTTTTTGGTGGAGAGGTGAGCAGCAAAGCTTGACTGGTGGAAGAGAGAATGGGAGGTCAGGAACAGAGCCAGGGAATACAGGCAATCCTTTAGCTGTGAAGGGGGCAGAGACAGTGCAGTGGGTTGAATTATGTCCCCCCAAAAAGGTATGTTCAAGTCCTAAGCCCTGATACCTGTGAATGTGACCTTATTTAGAAATGGAGTCTTTGCAGACGTAATGAAGTAAGGATGAGGTCGTACTGGATAAGTGTGGGTCCTAATCCAACATGACTGGTGTCCTTATAAGAAAGAGGTGAAGAAACACAAACACACAAAGGGAAGACGGTCACGTGAAGGTGGAGGCAGAAACCAGAGTGATGAATCGACAAGCCAAGCAATGCCAAGCACTGCAGGAAGTCACCAGATGCTGGAGAGAGGCATGGAGCAGCTTCTTCTCTAGAACCTCAGAGACAGAATGGCACAGCTGATACTTTGGTTTTGGATTTCTAGCCTCCAGAGTTGTGAGAGAATAGGTTTCTGTTGTTCTAAGCCACTCAGTTTGTTACAGCAGCTCTGGTAAACTAATACAGATGGAGTGGAAGGGGAACATGGGGTCTGACAGTTTTTTCTTTTTAAATGAGGCAATATTAAGGCATGTTTGTGTTATTATTTTCTCACT